TGTGTGTTGATGAGTGTTTAATTTGCTGTTTAGAATGGAAAGCTACTCCTTATTTGTGAGCATTTCACTGTAATAAGTACATTGTATAATGTGTTTGAGCTGCTACAGTGTTTAGAAATTGCTACATTTTGTTTGCTTTTAAAATGTCACTCTTTTTAATTTATGACTTTGTTAAAGGCTAAGAATTATCCATATTCTTGCCCTTCCGCTTTATTTAAGCACCGAGAAAGCCTGCAACACATGCAATCAACCATACATGCTCACATTAACCAACATACACACACTGTCACAAACACACACATACAGGCACTTTGGAAAACATCTGACATCAGAATTTATAAAAGCATTTCTCTTTCTCCCTCTCAGCCACAGTTTTCTGTGAATAGTATAAAGTCATATTTTCCCCCTTAGCGCTGGAGCCTGATATAATTGAGGTGGACTGGGAAAACTTACAGCCTTTAACGGAAAATAAGACCCATAAAAATAATACTAACAGTTCTTGTTCCCGTCATCACACACTCTGAGCGTGTGCAGAGGGATTTCGTGATATAGACGTCGGATACTATAACCAGCTTTTATACTGAAGAATAAATCTTTGTGTGCAGGTTTGGTCAATCCTGCTGCTGTCATTTTCCTGGCCTCCACACAAATTTGTCTACTTTTTTTTAGGAGTGGTAGTGGACAGTAATGGTGGATTTAAGTTTCCATTTCCTCTTCGGTAAAAACGAATCCTCGGTGGATTCTCTTCTAAACACGTTTCATTAGATTTTAGCTTTGTTTTGTGATCTGGTCGTGCAACTAAGTTGCAGCTTTTACGTTTAAGACCTTTTGGCCTGGCAGTAAGATAAAGACAAAGTGATTTTTAAAAAAATCGCAAAATGTTGTAAGCAGGTTTTTTTAAAGTAACAAATAAATCCTCGTTGTTAAGAGAGAGGAAGAGTGCACATAATGAAAGCAAGGGATGAGGAAACCGTAGAGTTGCAGAGGAGGTGAATTCCTCCACCGTCGACAAAAGAGTGGGAGGTGAGAACAAAAAACAAAGAAAGAGATAAGAGAGACAATTGTTGGAAGGATAACATCTTAACATCTGTAGTGTTAAATGCATAAAAAGTAAAAAGATGGCAGATTTTACAAAGAGCAAATACTTTTTAGTGAGCATTTTTTGTGGTTATATGTTTTGGCTAACAGTGACATTAAATGACACACCTAAAGCAAATAGTGATGTGTGTTACTTCACTTCAAGATCCTGTACCCAAATTAACGTGAATAAACTTACAATGACAGTTATTATGTTTTAGGATAATAGTTAAACTCGTGCTCGTGATATAACATTATTATTTTGTTTGCAAGACAAAATGTGTGCTGTGGTATCTGCCTGTGGGCTGTTTTAACATTAGTTAAAATGTGTTGCAAGATTCAGCAACTTATGCAGACATGTCCTTGGTTAGCAAAAAAAAAAGAAACAAGGTGACGAGGAAGGAGAAGGGGGGGATATGAACAGTGTGCAGTTTGTCTGTGTGTGTGGTTGTGTATGTCATGATGTGTCAGTAGTAAGTGACTCACAGACAGACAAAAAATTGATGGGAATCATTGCATCTTCATTGCAATCTTATTATTTTCCGAAGACGTATGTGTTCTAAGGAATATGCCTAAAATAACAAGCTTGAACCACCAACCACCCATGATGCTTTTTTTTTTCTCTCTCCCCTGCGCCGGAAATTTAATGTGCGTTGTTGTGTGCTCCTCCTAAAACCCCTTTGTGTCTTGCTTTTCTGCATTGCTTTTTTCAAGATTTCTGTTTTTTGTATTGTAGTGATTTTTTGCTTTGATAGGGTCTTGATACACTGCAAAACTTCATATATTGTGTGTTTATGCACATAATAATTATTAGCAGCAATCCTGTTTTCCTGTGGATGCATTTAAACAATATTTACCTTTTGATGGTGATCCTTAAATATGACATTCAGGTCTGTTATCATGTCTACTTACAATAAGAAACTGTACACAAACAGGGTCAAGAGATGCATTTACACTTTACCCTAGAGAGGCTTAGGTTATGAGTTTGCAATGGGATGTTTTCCCATGATATTTGTTCTAGCATGTTATTATACATCTGGGTATGATGTAGGGCTGCAACTAATCTTAATCTACAGATTATTTTCTTTAAACACTCTTAAACATTTGTTTATAAAATATCAGAAAATGCTTAAAAAAACCAAGGTGACATCTTCAAATGTCTTGTTTCGTTCAACCCCACTATCCAAAACCCAAAGATAGTCAGTTTACAATTATGTAATGCAGAAAAAAGCAGATAGTCCTCATATTTGAGAAGCTGGAACCAGATATTTTTGGGCATCTTTGCTTGATAATTGATTTAATTTATAATTTATATAGCACATTTAAAAACAACAGGATTTTTATCAGTCAGGTTAGAAACTGCCTCAACACAGGTGGCACCGATGCGTGTCTGTGTAAGTGTGTGCAAAGGTCAAAAGCAACATATGCCCCTTAACGTCCTCACTTTTCTGTGTTATGTCATCTTTGTTGCGTCAAGTTGAAGAGATATTTTTTATGGAAATGCTTTGGTCTTGATAAATAAAAGTAAATATCTTTTTTAGAGGCTGCAGGGTTAATTTATGACGAGCACACTGTGGCGTTTAACATGTGTAGGTTTCAAAGGAAGAGCTTTCTGCACCAGTTTGTCTCTGTGGTGCGATGTAATATGGTTTAACTCTCATATTGCACCTACCTGAATGTTTGTTCCTGGGTGTAATATGACTCATAATGCCAATATGATTTGTTACATGATTATTCAACTTTGACATTGAGTTGCCTATAAAAATATTGGTATGTCTATTTTGGTTGAATGCGCTGGTTACCTTCCTGCCAAACAAGTTCAATTCGTGTATGTGGTCTGAAGCTTGAAGGGTATTTGTTCTACATCATCCGCAGTCCTTGCCACGACCTTAGATACACTACACCCTATCTACCTGTTGGCCTCTTTCTGAACAGGGAGAGGTCGACGAGGAGATGGTGTTTATCGGAAAGTGTTCGGAAAATGGGCCGTTGGGTTTTGGAGAGAGGGGGCGCGTAGGCGACTTGGGGGGGAGGGGTATCTCTGAGTCTACCTTCGTCACCATGCACGCTTTTTTGATACAACAGGAAGGAGAGCGAGTGAAAGAATGTGCGAACGAGGTAGACATCCCCTAGGATGAACGCTTAACCCCAAGTTCTGACAACGAGATCAAACCTTTTAACACACACATCTAAGGGTAGAAGGAAATAGGAAGGGGTAAAAAAGTGCATTTCAAAGACAGAGAGAAGGAAAGCTAGGGAGTAGAGTTGTTAAGAGCAAAAAGATGGATGCCATGAGACACACGCTGCCTCGTCTCCAGCTGACTGTACCCATGGCCAAGAAGACGGGGAAGGTAGGATTAACATTTGAGACTTTAGCACGCCCTGGGATGAGAAAGCGAAAGGTTTGACATCGAGTGGAGTGATGGAAAGGATAAGGAAGTGCTGGCAAGTTCTTGAGAAGTATTTATTTAATTGGCTGTACTTTTCTTTTTTGTCATTGAATGGGTGGAGTACCTTTAAACATGTACGTGTTTTAAAAAGGCTGGCATTGAGATCACACATAACAGTTTAAATCCAACAATAGTGGGTGGGGGGAGCCACAGATTGACACGCGATGTGTGCATTTGTATTGTGTATGTGTGTGTGTGCTCCTGTGCCTGTGCGTGTGTATTTAATAGGGTGTGTTTTGGAGCAGGTTAGTCAGGTGGATGTACTGTCGTTGTGTAGAGCCCTCTCAGCACTGTGTGAAGATTGTTATTGGATGGCCAGGGGGCTGCCAGTTGCTATGGGAGGGAGATGAAGGGCAGGGAGGGGGAATCTGGAGGGTGAGTTGTTTGTGGAAAATCTGGTCTGCTCAGGTGTGTTAGAGATACTGTTGAGCAGGTATAGCATGGACAGGGTGAGGTGCGAGCTTAGGGAGCCAAAGAAGGGAGTTGTTGGGTTGTATTACTAACAGGCCTCGTTATGTCTCACAAAGAGCAATAAAGAAATTTTTTGGCCTCGTTTGATTGGCATTATGAAATTTTACCTAATGGCCAACACTATTGAACCAAACTTGATTTTATTGTTTTATTGTGTTTTAAACAAAGAGACAAAGATGGGATTGAAGTAATGAAATCTAGTAACTGACTGTACTGCATATGTGGCACATCAGTTTTATGAGTGTTGTACTTTTATACATTGTAATTATTCTCTCTCTCTCTCTCTCTGTTTTTTCCTTCCTCATTCTTTCACTGGTACTCCCCCCGTTCACCCACTATAGCCTGTCATTTCCTCCATCTCCCTCGCATGCTTTTCTGTCTTCTCTCTGTCCTCCATTAGTCCCTGTCTTTCTTCTCCAGGTATTTTAATCAAATGGCTAATGCTATAAAGGTTTCACACAGGAATTAACCTACTGCCTTTGGCTACAGCACCTACAGCACATTGCATAATCCTGCATCCTCTCCAAGTCACTTTTATCGATCGTTTGGTTTTATATACGTCGCTCTCTCTCTGCTTTAATGATTATTTCTTCTTCACCTTCATTATATAATTTGCCTCAGCTGCTGGCTGTGTCATCTCCATCACATAAGTCATCTGATGCCCCAACCCTCGTCTCACTGGCCGAATCACCTCCCAATTTAGTAATCTGGAAAGAAAGTACGGGGGGAGTTGTTGCTAAGCCTGGTTTAAATTGTCCCTCACATGAAAGAAACTCCTTGTGTCAGTCACGCTACAGGAGATTTACTTTTAGGTACTTTTAAGTGTATACACGGCTCTCTGAAGGAAGTGAAGGTATTCTTTCAATATGAGAAAATGCTGAAATTCATAGGAAAAGAAATTAAATGTATTCATATTAAAGAAGATCGTGACAGGTACAAAACTATAACTTGCTCAGACCTCAGTCCCTTCCACTCACCTGACCTTGCCCTTCTTTCACCCAGGTGGCAATGTCTCCAGGAGAGGACGGTCTGATTGGGATCCCCTTCCCGGAGCACAGTAACGAGCTCTTGTCCCACCTGAATGACCAAAGGAGGGCAGGGCTCCTGTGTGACCTCACTCTTACGTCCCGTGGGACACGCTACCCGACCCACCGCTCTGTCATGGCCGCCGTCAGTCTCTACTTCCGCCGGTTGTTTGGGACAGAGGAAGGGGGCGGCGAGGGCGGAGGAGGTTTCAGCGTGTGCCAGCTTGACTGCGTGGCACCCGACGCCCTGGATGCCCTGCTAGAGTTTGCCTACACTGCCACCCTGACCATCCCCAGTTCTGGGATGAGAGATGTGCTGCGAGGGGCTCAGCTTCTGGGCATCAAATGTGTGGCGGACGCATGCAGAGACATCCTGGGGGAGACGGCGGAGGCAGAGGGGGAGACGGCAGAGGAGCAGAGAGCCCAACACACAGCTCCTGAGAGGATTGCACAGGGAGAGAGCATTGTACAGAAAGGGTCCCGAAGAAAAACAGACAAAAAGAAGGTAAAAAAAGTTGGGTCACATTACATTAACTCCGCAGTTTTGAACCCACCACCTGCTTCTCCCGTCTCGCACCCTTCCCCTGCATCTGACAGCTTCCGCTCCCTGCCGTCTACCCAGCCTCCCAGCCCTGAACAAGAGGAGCTTCGCCTCAAATCTGGGCAGAATGGAGATCCCAGGGCGTTCAGAGAGCCAGGGAGAGGGGCCACACCAAATGGAGGGATCCTTCACTGGCTGCATGAGCGCCCCCGTATAGCCCACCCACCTCCTGTCCCGCCCTTGAATGATAAGCTGTCAGAAGATGACGACGTGGAGAGTTTTGGCGACGATGGTATGCTGATTGGAAGCACCTCTATACCTTCCTCTGTAGCTGATCAAGGAGCAGCGGCATCAGCAGCGGGAGGTGGGAGGAAGCGGAAGTCTCAGACTCCACAGCAGTGCCCTGTTTGTCAGAAAATCATCCATGGAGCGGGAAAACTGCCCCGACACATGAGGACACACACTGGAGAGAAGCCCTTCCAGTGCTCTGCCTGCGGAGTCCGTTTCACCAGGTACAGCAACTTCTCACATGTAATGTGCGCAAAACAATATGGTTTATTGTATTGTGGCCTGATTGACTCTTTTAGTCATGTTTTGCTCCTCATGCTCTTCCATTCCTGTCTCTTTATACCTCATCTTTCTCTTTATTAGGAATGATAAGTTGAAGATCCACATGAGGAAACACACAGGCGAGCGCCCCTACCCCTGCCCACACTGCCCTGCCCGGTTTCTCCACTCATACGACCTCAAAAACCACCTGTCCCTCCACAGTGGGGCGAGGCCTTTCGAGTGCCCGCTCTGCCACAAGGCCTTCGCCCGAGAGGACCACCTCCAGCGTCACCGCAAGGGACACAGCTGCCTGGAGTTGCGCACACGCCGGCCCAGACGTGGGCCTGAGCATGGGGAGGATGGGAGAGGGGATGGAGGTGGGAGGGAGCAGTCCAACTCTCTGGAGGCTCTGTCTTTACAGGCTCACTCCTCAGCGTTCCTCCCTCACACGGTGCTGGATGGTGGCAGTGGGTCTGGCGCCGGCCCTCCGCTGATCTTTCCAGGTGACCTCGAGAGTGGGCGGTCTCTTGCCCTTCAGGCTTTGGCTCAACTTGGACCTCGCGGACTGGCCGGCTACCCTGAGCTCTTCCTGCGAAGTCTGGAGCTGCGAGGGGGCAGGGAGGCGGAGGGAGAAGATCCAGGAGGAACCCACTCGCCGGCTGCGCAGCGTGACCAATGGGCAGACGAAGTGGAAGAGGAAATTGGAGAAGAGGAAGTGGAGGAGGAAGAATAGTGAAAAGAGCGTGTGTGTGTGTGTGTCTGTGTGGTAAAGCATCCACAGTAAAAAAATAAAAATATAAAAAATAATCTCCCTCACCTAAAACAAAAAATGGAAAACGGGTTTTCTGAGATATTTTAAATGTTTTTCTTCTGGCACTAGAAATTTCATTTCATTTGTTAAATTTTATTTCTCGTTTGCTGTTTATTTTTTTATGTATTTCAGGTTTGAGCTGTTTGATTAGATTTTTCTAGCTGGACATGTGTGTGCTTGAGTTTGTGGTTACTGGGATGCTTTTCACTATGCAAACTAAAATCCAGAGCTGCGACATATAGGGATATTTGAAGATGTATATTTTACTTACAACATAGATGTACTGATTCAGGTGTAATTCAGAAGTCATACCACCTAGATCACAAGAATGAGTTTGTGCGCCCACTGTCCTCTGGATGTTATCAGTGGAAAATGCAGTCCAATGAATCAAACTTGTTCTGTACATTGTAAGCAATAATGCTCTTTGTGTCTTTCTCATTAATGGTAGGATCTTTGCTTTAATTTGGTGTGTAAACCAAAGATTTTAGTTGAACTGTTTCCTTAACGTTAACAGGAGAGGAGAGAGGTGAATTGTAGCCAATGTTGGGTTTGAAAAGAAGATTCTTCCCAACTGTTTTGATAGCCATGAGAAAGAATCTGCTTCCATGTTTGAGTGTTTCAGAGCCGTTGAGCTCTGTGTTAAATGCCTGACCAAAAGAGACAAAGTCTGGGTCAATGAGTTGATGTTGATTATGTTGAAGACAGTTCTTCTTTTTCCAAAGGCTGTGGATTTCAGTCTTCCAATGCACTCGTTTGGGTTCCTCAATAAAAAAAAGGGGGGGGGGGCATGGGGGCATGGTGAGGCGACAAATGAGGTGTTGTGCCCCTTTTTTCTGTACTTATTTATTTATTGTTATTTATTATGACTCTTCTGCTGAAACTCTTTTGTGAGACCAAATCCAGGGTGGGACACTTCTCATCCAAGTCTTACAAGAAGCTGCATTGCGCAAAAGATTCTGGCTCAACATCTCCATATACCTAAACGCCTTTCTATGGGCTGTGTGTCTTCTTTTGGCGATTCTTCCTCGAATGCATTCTTTGCACATGTAACCCCGTCAGGTACTGCAATAATTCAGGCACATTCCATCCTCCGGGGAAGAGAGAAGGGAACCAAGCAAAGAAGAAGTCAGGGGGTTTAAAACTTTGATATAACTGGAACACAAAACTTTGCTGTTTACCATTTGCAGCATGCTTTTCTGTTGTTAATTCAACATGTATAGTACTGTATCACATGTTATTGCACGGCAGTTCTTATAGATCGCTCACGCTGTGTCTAAAGGGGCCATTATCTTTTGAGTTAATCTATCTTCGACCAAAAACCTTTTTAGTTCAACATGCTTTCCCCCAGACCAGTACATTAAGGCCTTTTGCAGGATGTAATGCAATCGTTAATGGCTTTAAGTGACAGCAGTTGTCTTTTTATTTTCAATCCTCTTGCAACCTATGTAGTCAGAACCTGGTGTAGCAGTCGCACTGGTCTGGCCCTGTGTGCACTATCCACTCCTTGTTGTAAATCATTTTTTATTCCCAGTTTATTTGCACTATGAGATTTGAGAGCTTCAAGCCTTTTTGTCTGACCTTCAATATCTAATCCATTAACTCACGTGGTACGATTCAAGATTGTGATTGACAGTACGTCTTTAAAACCTGCATATGTTGAATACCCTTCCTCCTGCATAATAGTACAGAGTTATAGTCAAAATAATGTAATATATTGGGATGAAGTTGCCTTAGATTTTTTTTTGTGCTGCAACTATTCTCAGGAAACCTTGAGCAATGCACTAAGTGATCATACAAAATATTAAAATGGGAAGAAATCGTTTGGTGCTGTTTTGGGGCGATTGACACTCTTCATTTAAGTGTAAGACCAGTAGTTTCAAAATAAGAGATTTTGTATTGTGTCATTTGATGTTTGAAAACCACATCAATGAAACCTGTTGTGAGATAAAAATATCATAATGAAAGTAAACTACTGGCCTTACTGGAACCAGTCCTACTGGAATGGCAGTATGACAGTTGGTCCTGTTCATGAAGGGTGTTGGTGCTCCCAGTCAGAGCTTTGTGAATGAATGAGGGTTAACTGATGCCAGCTGTGAAATGTGTGTCTATGTAAGCTGTTTGTTTTCTTGGCTTCGGTGAAGGTACATGGGGTCCGCTTTGAGCAGAGACCCCGCTATCAGGGATACATTTTTGTCTTTTAGTTTATAGTGGAATCTTCTTGGAGATATGAATTCATTTTCCTATCATTTATTTCAGTAAATGTAAAGAAAATAAATAAAGATCTATGAGCTTGCTGTTTTCTGTGTCTCTGTTATTGATTTATATTACAAAACAACTCTTTATGGTTTTTCTTAACTACAACCTGATTGATACTGGATTTTTGATGATTATGATGTCGATATCCCTATTTGAGAGTTTAAAAAACCCAGTAACAGTACATCAGTCGATATAATTTTTTTAAAAACATAAACCATAACATAAACGTACAGTTTTAATACTGAAGCTTTTGAATTTGGGTGTAAGATATGTACTAATGGTGACATTTTACAGTTGTAAACTACCTTGTGTTCTCTGGTGGACAAACTATGTAATGGAGACAAAGGTTTTGCAAAACCTTAAACATACCTTTGGCATTTCTTGTGACTCATTGGCTGATACTGTATAGGCTATAATCCAACATATCTGTGATAAGCTAATCATGCAGTCTGCCTAGTTATTTGTATTCGTCAAGCTCTATTAGTAACCTCTGATAATATTACTCATTGAAGGTGATGTTCTTTAAAAAATTTTTTTTTACATCAATCTCAATTAATGCCAGTCCCCTTTGAAAGTAGAGAACAGAGTATCTTGAAGGAGAAAAAAAAATGTTTTTAGAGACCACCTTCAAATTCACCTTTAGGTTTGGGATCCTTTCGTTCCATTAATGGAAAATATGACTGAGTGGGGAGAAACAGACCTCTTTCACAGAAGATTATTTTGACACAGTTGGAAAAGCACAGGTGTGAGTTATAGCCTACATGAATGATGGCTGAATTACATTTAGCTGTCACACTGTCTTGACACTTGCATAGAAAAGAGCCATTGTCAATGTTATTAGTAACATCTTCTTTCCTACTATGACCAGACAAAATGTGTGCTGTGAAAAAGGCCTGTTGTAAAATCTCATAACTTACTATTTATGGACTTTGAATACATTTAAAGGTTATTTTCACGTTAATAATCCATTTTAACGCTGTAAAGCATTATGTCAAATAATGGCAGTGCCTCTAACGTGATTCTGATACTAACCCATTAGTTGTGTGTGCACGTGCAAGCACTTGTGAAAGCCGGGGTACCTGTCGGCCTCCGCACGGGCAGCGGGGATGGGATGTGACGTGGTTCGTTAAGCCTCTTAGTTTAGCCTAATTAAGCTGAGCCAGCAGGCCCCACTAAGTTCCTTTGACAGCAGAGGTTTCAGAAATCGATGTGATTGCGTGAGAAGTCAAACGGAGACCCCAGGAGGAGTGGCTTTGGAGTAATTATTAAAACAGTTTGAAGTGAGTTGTGGGTGTTTGTTACGGGCTCCTGCAATGCTCCCTCGGCGTATGCTGTGGGGCGCTGTGGCGCGTCAGGTCGCTCCGCGTCTCACCTACAGCACTGCAGCACAGCCGCAGGTAGGCCGGCATTCACACCGCAGCACACACTGTAGCCTAATACACACTGCTATGCACTGAACATGTAAGTACACTGACTACTTTCAAGTAGGCAGGCATGCGAGATGTTTGACACGCAGAAAGTAACAGTGAGGGCCTATTTAGTCCAATTGTTAACATATCTACATTTTGCAAAGAGAGAGAGATAAACATGGTGTTATTCTTTTATTAGCTATTTTGGATAAATTTGTCTTTGGGCTTGAATATTTTCCAATTGCATGTTTTTAATATACGACTATGATTTATGATATAAAAAGATAAAGCAGGCAATTAATTAATGCATTATATGTCCATTATATTTTTTCATTATATTGCAGAATATACCAGTTATTACCACATTTCATGTAATGTTAAATGAAATGTAACCTATATGTTTTCAATTCTGTAGTCCCACTTAATGTTGTTTTCAGAAATTTGTTTTGTGGTTTGATGCATTCCTAAAATTCAGACTATTCACTGAAATCAGTTTTACCAACTCGCATATTTCCAATACTAAGAACACAAATTCCACATTTTTGATTTTTCATCTAATGCATTCTAACGCAGAGCTGCAACGATTAGTCAATCAACAAAAAAATGTATTGCCCATTATTTTGACAATTGGATTGTCATTTTAGTCATTATATAAAAAAAAGAAAGAAGCAAAAAGAAGAAGCAAAAATGGCAAAATTTGCTGGTTCCAGCTTGTCAGATTTGAGCATTATATGCTTTTTTTGGTCATTGGCCATCACTTTGGGCTGTGGGAAATTATAACAGGAGTAGACAAAATGATTATTTGATGTATCAAAGACAATCATCAGATAAAAAATAAATGAAAATAATCATCAAGTGATGGCAGCTCAAATTTTTTATGCATTATTGCACATGGCCACTTTATCAATCACACTTTTCTTTCATCTTCCTCTCTGTGACCAGGTAAAGCCAAAAAAAAACAAATATGGCCCTCTGAGTGACCAAGACCGGATATTCACCAACTTATATGGCCGGGATGACTGGAGGTAAAGACATATAAGGCTAAACCATTTTGCCCGGTCTCTAATGACCTGAAACTCTGCAGAAATACTTGTTCATCTCTTTCTCGCTCTCTCACTCTTCCTACCAGACTCAAGGGATCACTCAGACGAGGAGACTGGTATAAGACTAAGGAGATCATACTGAAGGGACCAGACTGGATCCTAAATGAGGTGAAAGTCTCAGGGCTTCGTGGCAGAGGAGGAGCAGGCTTCCCCACCGGGATGAAGTGGAGCTTCATGAACAAACCCAGTGATGGAAGGTAGGAACAAGGAAAGGAAAGGAAAGGATCAAGATCTGTTTTGACACTTTATGCTTGCATCTCTGTCCACACCAGTAATGGCACTCTGGTGATGTTTCAGTGTATTATGTGTTTCCTTCTTTCCTGTGTCTTAGGCCTAAATACTTGGTGGTGAATGCTGATGAGGGCGAGCCAGGGACATGCAAAGACCGCGAGATAATGCGTCACGACCCCCATAAGCTAATAGAAGGCTGCCTGGTCGCGGGGAGAGCCATGGGCGCTCGTGCTGCGTACATCTACATCAGAGGAGAGTTTTACAATGAGTCATCGAATCTGCAGGTATACAAAGGCACAGACAGATGGCTTGTCAATCCATAGATGCTGTGAGGTTTATACCATGAGTCGTCTGTTACAGGTGGCTATTAATGAGGCATACAAAGCAGGGCTGATAGGGAAGAACGCCTGTTTCTCGGGGTTTGACTTTGATGTGTTTGTCATGCGGGGAGCTGGAGCCTATATCTGCGGGGAGGAGACGGCCCTCATCGAGTCTCTTGAGGGCAAACAAGGGAAACCACGACTTAAGCCGCCATTCCCTGCAGACATAGGTGAGTTGAAAGCACCTACATCCGTTTTCTTACTGGGGTTAATTATGGTTTAAGAAACTGCAAAATAGGGTTATATTGTAATTACAGTTAGTAAGTGGTTATTTACTGCTTTTCTCTCTCCCTTAAGGGGTGTTTGGATGCCCAACGACAGTTTCCAACGTGGAGACAGTTGCTGTGGCGCCTGCAATCTGCCGTCGAGGTGGAGCTTGGTTCGCCAGCTTTGGGAGGGAGAGGAACTCTGGGACGAAGCTGTTCAACATCTCCGGTCACGTGAACACACCGTGCACGGTGGAGGAAGAGATGTCTATTCCTCTGAGGGAGCTAATAGAGAGACACGCAGGTGTGTGTTTACAGCCCATCTCTGTGCTGATGTAGGTTTACCCTTTGAGATGTTGAACTTGACTTCCATTCTCCTCGTGTGCGATTGGTGCAGGAGGAGTGAGGGGCGGCTGGGACAATCTATTAGGAGTGATCCCAGGGGGGTCCTCCACTCCCATCATCCCTCGCCATGTGTGCGATGATGTTCTGATGGACTTTGATGACCTGGTCCGAGCAGAGACTGCACTGGGAACCGCTGCCGTCATAGTTTTGGATAAATCGGTAAACAGATCCCTGAATAATGTACACAACAAAATACAACGCACATTCAGCGACAATCAGCCTGGAAAGATATTTTGAGAATTGTATTTCTTCTCCAGACTGACGTGATCCGAGCCATTGCACGTTTGGTTAAGTTCTACAAACATGAGAGCTGTGGCCAGTGCACCCCCTGCAGAGAGGGTAAAGAACTGCAAAATGTATTTAACACTAGCACAAGAAAATAATACTGTCTCGGAGCTTTTCCTGTGACCCTTTCCCTCTTGAATAGGCTACAATAGTCGTGTACACAGCCACAAAACCTCAGTGAGATATGTTCTGGATACCAAAAAATCATCATGAATACAGGAAAGAAGTTCCCGAACACTGGAAACAGAGCTCCCTTAAGCTTTTACTACCCACACATTACTCCATATTAGATGTGCAAGAACATCAGAAGTACTCCCACCTCTTAATCTTATAATTTAGGTAATAGAAACACTACTGTAATGTAAAAATTTTCTTCCAAATTTTACTTAAACAAAATGGAGTGAAGGTTTCAATGAAAAAATACTTGTTAATTCCCTTTAAGTGGGTATTTGCCAGAAGAATAATGTCTGATTTCAGTGTGCGTAATTTTCTGTTGTATTCACATTTTCTGTTCATCCTCTCCTTCAGGAGTTGACTGGATGGATAAAATGATGTGGAGGTTTGTTCGAGGAGAAGCAGCAATTTCAGAGATTGACATGATCTGGGAGCTAAGCAAGCAGATAGAGGGACACACCATATGTGCCCTGGGGGACGGAGCTGCCTGGCCAGTGCAGGTGACATCTCTCGATCGTTTTTTTTTTTTTTTAACCAGTCCAACAAATGAAGCTGGCAATAAACCACTGACTCAGGCTAAAAGTTCAAAAAGTACTGATTTACATTTTAATATGCAATTTTTGTTTTTCTTCACTCCCCATATTTAATCTACAGGGACTGATCCGCCACTTTCGGCCGGTCATGGAGAGCCGCATCGCTCAGTATAACAAGAAAAACCCTCAGAGAGCGCCAGAGATTGAGATGATCTGAAACAGATGTCCATTTTAGCATTTAGTCCTTTACAACAGTATTAATAACACATCATGCCATATTGCTTTGTGTACATTATTTTTAAAATTTTTAAATATGAAAATATTTGTTCTTATTAAGAAAAACAAAGTTTTACTGCTTGAATGTCCAATCCAAAAATGTTTTTCAAGTGTTTTCACGTAACCTATATTTGTAATATAAATCACAAAGTCACAAGGTCACTTCATCAGCTGTTTACTCTGAGAAGCTGAACTGTTGACAGCTAGTGGGCAGATGTGGCCAACTTGGTTTGTGATTATCCCTTAGACTTAGTCATGATCCTTGAGATTTCAGTACTGGTTGATTTAGCGACACCTGTGGTTACTTGTGGTAACAGCAATTGTGGTTTCATACTACAGGTCAGTGTTCTGTAGGCAGCAAAACAGACAATGTAAAGTTAAATAAAGAAGTCAGTCAATAACTGGCCTTTTTCCATCATTCTGTGCGCAATCATGATCATGTCTCACAAGACTAACAGCAGGGTACAGTGAAATAGTTGGTTACCTCGCTGAGAAGATGGAGGTGTGCAGCTTTTCTCCTGCAGCTCTTCACGCAACACCTCACTGTGGCTGCTCCTGACTGTCCCCTTCCTCCCTGCAATATTTCAAACTGTTCTGCTGTCAAAAAATGACGATAATTACTGTTTTGTTTTGTAGATTTTTGATGAATGATAGCGGTAAGTGTGTAACCCACTGTCAAACATATTGAACTTCCTGTGACTACTTCATAATAAAAGCCAACTCGTGTTTCGCCAATTAAAAGCTTTTAATGAGAAGTTGCAGCATTAAGAAATGTTCAGTTTGCATTAGCAGTAACTTAATACAGAAATGTTTCTATCTATATCTCTATCGATCTATCTATCTATATAAATAAATATTAAAATACTTTCATTGGTGGGGCATAAGCTCAATCACCATTGTGTTACCTCAATCTGTGATAGTAACTTAACAGACATTTATTTAAATGAAAATCTTCCAAATTTTTACTTTAAAAACATGTTAAAATGAATCTCAAGCTCAAACACGGCAATAAATTAAGTTTATTTATTTCATTAAAGCATGAAATAAATTCAGTGGGTTTACTACATATTAGTCCAATATGATCTGTACAAAAAGACCAGAATATAAAAGGACTGTGTCACCAACTAGGATAGGGAGAATGGAAAGGGGGTGACAAAGTAAGAAAAGCTGTGGGGATCAAATGAAAAGTAGTCAGTGATGTACAACATCATTGCCTTGTGATTTTTTTTTTTTTTTTTTACAAAGACACTATATTCAAACACTTCACCTGGCATGGGATTTTATTCCATTCCAAATAAAATCGGAGGCAGAATATTGCTCATCTGACCATCTATACATCCACAAAATAGTTTGGGGCATCAGTCCTGCAAATGTTCGTCTTCAAACTATTATGTGTGCACCAAAGAGGAGTTTTCCAAAACATTAGTATGTCCATTTGGACCCAAGTACTAAAATAATGCTGCGGCCAAGATGTAGCTGTAAAGAGACATCCATGTGATGAAAGGGCGATGAGTGGTGGAAAAAGACTGTAAGACTCTGCACAAAGCAATGAAGGAGGTTAGATTTTTCCTGTTTTAGGGTGCCATCCAGAAAGGCATAGACTGTGGCTGTGTTTTAGCACGAGGGGGTGGTGGAGGAGGGCAGCGATAGCCCTGCATCCACCCTGAGGAAGTGGAGGTGGGGGGTACTGCCACAGGGTTACCTGGCCCTGAGGCTTTTGAGGTTGAATGATCTTCCTCTTCATCAGAAGAGTCGCCGGTGTACGCCACTAAACCAGTTTTCATTCTCTTCGCTGCAGGGTCTGAAACAAGAAAAGAGGAAGCACGCAGAAGAAAGGAAGAGGTAGTACATTTGGCGAGGGAGGGAGGGAGAGAAATATGGGGAGAGAAAAAAAAAACACAAAAAACAACAGCAGATACATGTTTCAAATAAGACAGGGCAAGTTAATTATTCCAAACACATTTTGGGAGAAACAAATAGTTAATTGATTTAAATCATAGTTTGTCAGAAGAGTTGAGGAGGGGGCGGCCATTCGAAAGAAGCCATTGGTTGGTGGGGAGCGACAGTGTTAAGGCCGTCCAATCGAGCGCCAGGACAGCGTCACAGGACGAGTCGTGCCCCACCCCCAATCAGAATCCAGCATCACCCCAGAGATACATGGAAGAGAAGAAAAACACAGAGAAAAAGAGAAAAACACAAAAACAGGAGAGATTCTCGTTAGTGAGAAAAGCAAATAAACTACAGACACCCCAGACTGATGATGTCATCAGAACGGGACGGTAAGGTGGACTCGACAAAGGATATCTACAAAGGATTGAACTATGCACAAAATGTCAAGCCACAGCTCCACCTCACTATCTGGAGATTTCTAGTCACAGCAGCAGAACCCTGTAAGAATCTTAAGGGCCAGTTTGAGAGGGAGTGTGTGTAACGCCGCATTTATCTAATCTGCCACAAAACCAGTGGGCTTCATTATTCAAATCCAAAGAAATATAACCATTTTGGGCCAACTATGTTTCTGTGATACATCTGCCGAGGCTTGACATAAATAATCTTCAACAATCTCCAGTAAACCACTGAAATTTCGACACAGTCTTGTGGCCATAGAAAGACTTCCCATTTTACTCTTTGCAGCTCTATATTTAAGCTGTGAATAGATCCAGGCTCAGTTTATATGGGGCAGAGTCCACAGTCAGGAACTGTGGATTTGGATTTGGGCAGGGATTTGTCAATCCACAGGATAATGCCCTTACCCACGGAGCCTTGCGGTGCTCTTCTCTCCTCCATCTTGGGTCTTACTCCATTCACAGGCAACAGAGGCGGAGGCATTAGCTGCCGACTGGAGAACACAAAGGAGAATGGTGAGAGTTAAGTAGGCTTACTGACCCTTGCGCACTATTCATTTTTTAATTAATAAAATGTAAACAAATATAACCAAACTCTGTGTACCTGTCCCTCTCACTCGGTAGGCCAGAGGAACTCTGTGCTGGGGGACCTGCAGTCTCCGGGCTGCCCACTGGGAAGCCTGCACCTAAATTAGTCATATGAATGGGTCCATGCTATGAGCAGAAAAACACACAGGCGCGATTAGCAGATATCCTCTACTAAACCCTGTCCTAAATTAATATGGCTAACTATACTAACAAAACTCCCTGTAAATAGCTTACCACAAGTCTGATTACACTGACACAATGAAAGATACTTATCAGTTTTAATAATACCTTTTTCTGAAACTCCAAATTACCAGTAGAAAGACACAGGTAAACTGGAAGTGAACAACAGCAGGAAACAGCAAGCCATGCTATCTCAACCAGTGTACAGAAAATATTTTAAAGAGCTAAGATGAAATAGTAGTACACCTGATGAAACTGTTACATGACACACACACACACACACACACACACACACACACACTCTCTCTCTCTCTCTCTCTCTCTAATGGTGCTTTCAGACCAAAAGCGAAGCGAGCGTTTGGGGCGGTGAATTTACATACATACATACATACAACAAATTACATTCTTAAGTCAATGCAAAGACATGTAGAACCACGATTTCCTGTCGGGCGGCGCAAAGGAGGCGAGGACGGCAACGCAAAGGCAACGCCAAGGAATTCGCATGACGTTGAGTCGCGATAGCCTATCAGTTGTTGAGATTGTCCGTACGTCACCGAAGGCTTCAGAGCAATGTGTGGAGAGGACCAGGCAGAGCGGGGGATTGAAAATCTGCTGGCAGGCGGAGAGCTGCTAAACTTAGGGGAGAGGAGCAGGGAGCAGCGCTGCAACCTCTGGACAAATAAACACCCATAGTCAGTCTGGATTATGCTCTGACAACTACGCCGTTTAGAGCTCGGAGTAAACTGCTTTTAATAAATTAGCTTTTAACTTAAGTTTTTGGGATTACAAAATTGATTTATCTTCACCGGAGCTTCTCAGCAGCTAGCTTCCATGCACATCCGCTTCCAGTGTTGTTAGCGTCGTTAGCTCTGTCGGATTACGACTTTATATTTATATAAAAACTGGACATTACTTGGAGAAAAGAAAGCAAGCAGGTTGAACTACCTGGTGAGTTCAGAAAACATGTGTCTGTAACTTTATTCCAGCTATCATTGTACTTTACTGTGATCAAGTGAGCATAGAATAGCCCTGATCGATCCAAACTCCATTCAGAAAACAAACATTTTAGAAGTTGTTGTCCTACTGTCTTGCTGACAGAGCTGACAAAGTTTAATCTGTTTATTGCCATTTAACCACAGCAAAATGTTTACTTTGGTCTGGTTTACTTTGTTCATACAGCTGTAGTAACGGCGAGTTGTGTTTATTCACGTTAAAATCGGCTTCTTGCGCTGTGTGTGAACACTTGCAGCGAATGTACTCACGCGAGGAAAGCGTCGCAAGGAGAAAATTTGCAGTTGGTCTGAATGCCGCATTAGGTAAAGGTGTAGGCATACACACAAAGGCAAAAAACTAACAAGGGGGCCTCAAGGTGGAGAAAAGAAAATAATGGTGAGAAAGGGCTATAAAGGTGGGTGAGCTGTTTTATCACCTGGTATCCGAGCAGACCGCTGTTCCTCTCGTCTGGGACCTCCTCTGTGAAGCGTCTTTTCTGTGGTGGGTTGGCTGGGGCAGCAGGAGGTGGAGCTTTGGGTGGCGCTGCAGCTGATGGAGGAAATGGTACAGGAGGAAGATTCTGTCAAGAAAGAAAAACACAAAGTATTATTGTTTCTTGTTTCAGAGTTCAAATGTTGACATTTCTAACACCACTTCAAAAACACAAATTTCAAGTTGAAGGGAAAAAAGTAACCAATATGTTTTACCTCATTCATTATATAAAATGGAAGATTTGATGGCTCGGTCCTACCTGTGGCATAGCGCTTGGAGCAGGTGCAGGGGCAAGAGCTGGCGCTGGAGTTGGAGCTGGGGCAGGAGCAGGAGCAGGTGTGGGGGCATGGGGGAGGGGGTACTGAGGAGGCAAACCTGCAGGTGCTGCGTGAGGTAAAGGAGGTGGGACAGCGTAAGGTGGAAGGACAGGTTGTGGCTGAGGTGGAGGTACAGGCATGGGGAAGCCTGGCTGGTATCCAGCAGGGGGATAGTAAGAAGTCTGCGGAGGCATCCCGTTCACCACTGGAGGCTGTGCAAAGCCTGGAGGAGGGAAACCGATGGGGTCAGGCTCTTTCTGTCATTTCTACAATCATATACAGTGTGTTTTTTTGTTTGTTTGTTTTTTAACAATATATTTATTTATTTTTCTGCTTTAACAAAGAATTTAGTATAAAAGCATTTCACAATTAACCAGCAACAAAGCACACAAAATCCAAAAATATAGCAATAGTCACTTCAGAAGTCAAACATTGCCTCCCATTCCTTATATAAATAATGCACATACAGTGGGGGAGAACAAG